CAGTTTGTTCAGTAAAGAGTGAGCTGGCCACGTGTCAGTTTGCAGGATGTCCTTCATAAGTCCGTCATCTTGAACCACGGCTACAGCATCGACTAGACGAGCAATGAACTTATGAAGTTGCTACCTAGCACTGCCTGCTTCGCAGCCTCTGAATCTTCGCATCTTCTTCTCGATCTCACTCTTTCTCTTTGAGTTTGCCTTGACGAGTTGAGTTGACGTCTTCAGTTGACGTCTTCAACCACGTGTGACTATTCTGCGCATGCGTAGTAATTTCAGCCGGGATATACCGGGAATCACAGCTTCAGAAGTGAGGCTGTGAGCCTGTGAATAAAAACCTGAGAGATTTGATTAAGAATAAGTGCAATTTTCACATAAAATCTATTTTAGGTGTGTCATCAACGTTCCCCTAACAATTTTTATGTTAATTTTTGTTTGATTTTATTCCAAATTTTTATTTTAAACATTATTTTTAGATGCAAACTTTATATAAAAATAGGTGCATACAAATTTTCTTTATAATTAAAATCAAAGTGCCATTTTTAAACAGAAGAGGCTCAGTTTTGCCAATTTTTGAAAGCTGAAGTGTGATTTTCACACTTTAATGCATATTGATAAATTTAATCAGCATTGATAATACAGTACCAATTAATAATACTTTATAGGGGGTATATTTCCAAGGAAAATATTTCACGAAAATCACCTTTCAACCTATTCACAAAAAATTTTTGCGTTTTTCTTCTACTGACCATTATTAGTATGATAAAAAATAATTTTCATAAATAAAAATTTTCCCGAATTTTTTAAAACTGTGAAATTAGCGAAGTTAAATCCCTGTGAAATATACCCCCTAGACAGTAATAATAATGGTAATACCACTAATTGTGATTAACTTGTTTGGAGGTAGATTTATCCAGAACTAAGTATATAGAGTTACATATTATTGTTAATGTATACCTATCACTTTAACGTTCACAATCACTCAACAAGAGGTTATTAATAAACTGTAATGAATGTCTACTACTTCAAGCAAGACAATTGTCATAAAATTTAAAAGAACTGAGAAGACAAACAACAATACTCAATTAATGTGACTGAAACAACACAACTTAATAATAGTAATGCATGTAGGTACAGTGTCTGTTTTGTTCTTTTATCATTGACCTCCTCTTAGAGCTAACACAAGATGAAGAACTGAACCTCCTTGTATCTTATAATCAGCAGCTGTTTTATCATCATTCATTTGTTTACCACTGAATATTAATCTAAAAGGAATAGCATAGTGTAACAACATAAAAATATTATTATAGGCCACATTTACACAGTACTGTTTTTTACAAAATTAATTTTTGGTTGGCTAAGGGTATCACTAAAAATTTAAAACACAAAAATGCCTATGAAATCTAGACAAAGGAAAAAATACCGTAAAAATTAATGATAAAATTAATTCAAATAAAAATACAGCTACTGGATTAGTGTAAAAACCTGATAATGGTAATAGCATAAGCTTCATAACCAATGTGGATTAGGTGAAGCAGAGTGGTATAAAATGGCCTTAATAACATATTTTGTAGCTTCACACATACATGACATGTACATGTAGAATAGCATTTACATTTTACATGTATAATAACAGTGTAAGTAAATATTATAGTATATATGTACCTCTGCTGTGGTGGTGGTATACCCTCCTTCTCTTCGACTCTTTCTTTAATCCTCTCAACCTTTCATAAGTACAATAATAAAAATAATTAATAAAACGTAAAATATTATTGTTGTAATAAGTATTATAATTACAATAATAGTATAAAAATAACAGAATAAGTATGAAAAGGGAAGAGGGAGAGAGTAGGGATAAGGAACAGGAAGAGCAATAAAAATAAATACAAAATTAAGAAAACATAATTATTATCACACTAATACATATACACTGTACATGTACATGTACATGCACATCACACAATCAATAACCTAACAAGGTTTTTGTCTTAACTATTTTTTGTGTCTAACTATTATCATTGTAAATTAATAAAGCAAGCACATGTATAAGTGCATGATTTTCACCTAAAGGTAGGTATGTAGGTGTGGAAATTACATGTACATTGTACATGTGTACATGTGTAGGTGCAAATTTCACTTAAAAAGGTCAATGTAAACTTATTGAAGCATGTCGATGTACATTATGTTGAGAGATCTTTATAAAAATTGTACATACATGTACATGTACACATGTGCCTTATCCTATACATATACTTACATGTAGTATAATATTAAACAAGGCATATACTATTATAGTTGATAATTTTTGTGAGGTATTAATTTCGTTGTCTCTGCTGTGCATTAAAATTTTAACACTTACATGTAATACCTAGATAAGAACATGTACATGTACATGTATCAGGAAAATTATTAAAACTGAGAATTCTCTCCTTTCATTTTTGGTGAAATTTGGCACTTTGGCCCAATTTTTGTGCAACTTAAAACATTCATAAAAAATCCAATTTTGATTGGAATCAAATAAAACTTCTTACGTAACATAAGAACATGCATATACATCAGAAAAAATTATAAAAACATAGGATTCTCTGCTTTTCAATTTTTGCAAAATTTGATCAAAAAACCCTGTACTAGAGTACAGGGACTATGACCCTAATTCTGAGTGACTTTTAAAATTTGTAAAAAAATCCAATTTTGATTGGAATCGGCTTAAACTTTGTACACAAGTTGTCAACATAAAAACATCATGTACATGTATGTATCAGGGAAAACAAAAATTCTTTAACTATACACACAAGTATTAACTTTTAAAGAATTTGGGACAAAATATAAAACATTGAACCTTTGAAAACTAATGTACAAAACTAGCTACATGTTATCCCATGCCATAGCAAAATGGCAATTGGAATTATCTAATTTACATGTACTCCATTGATGATAGGTGTCCCACCCACATGGTGCTGTATCACTATTCATCATTGTATTAATTATACATTAAATATAATACTACCCACCCTCTCAAGAAACGAAATGTACTGTGTATTTGCAATGGTCACAATAATACAAAATTACCTTATCAGTTGGTTCAATGTCAATATCAATCTTTATAAAGAATGAATTAGAGAAAAGAAAGAGAGAGGGAGAGACAAAGAAGGAGGAAGTATGATAATATTGATCTATTGTTCCTTACTTCTTTCCCTGTCAGTGTCTAACAATTGATAAAATAAAGGTACATGATCTAATACTGAATAACCTTACCTTGACTTTGATTAACATCTTGAAAGAAGAAAGATAGTCCTAGAAGTTGAAATAAAAGATGATGAAGCACAGAAGCAGTAAACCTTTGTGTATGGGAGTGGTTAGATCTAGATCTAGGCGGGGTTTAAATTTAAGTTCCGCCCATTTTAATTATTGCCATAGAAACAAGATATTGTCCCGCCTCCCGAAGCAACAAAGATACTCTAAGGTAGAGGAATTCCTCGTGTTTGGTGGCCAGAAGGTGGATCAATACTAAAGAGGATACATTAGGAAGAAACAAGGAAGGTACATATTAGTTGATGGAATAGTATAGCCGGTTTCAATCATGTTTAATTTAATATGCTTCTGGTTCAGTTGACTGATGTTGGAATGGTTGCCTTGTGATGTATTATAATTGTACATACCAGACTAATTTAAAGTGGCCCTCCCTTCATTTGTGTTCATTTTTCACTTACAATATAGATGGAAAAGTTGGCCAGATTTTGTGAAATATTTAGTACATGTAATTTTATACCATATAGCGGAAAATTTTTGTGGCCCAAAAATTTCGTGGATCTGTTCAAAAATTAATTTTTTAGCTTTAATTTTTGTGGTTTTCTACTTTTCGGCCATCTTGAACCATATTAAATCAATTTTCGTGGATTATATTTTCGTGAATTTTGAAAAAATTGCAAAATCCACAAAAATTTTGGGCCATCAAAATTTTCCGCTATATAGTAATTAATTTTTTACATTTAGTACATCTAATTTCATATCTACTTGTACCTGTACATTTATTATGTCATTAAGGAGTTTCTGAATGAACTGAACAAAATGAATTACATGTAGATTTTATTCATGTATTCAATTTCCTGCCAATATTTTGAGTCTACCTGTACAATTTACGGTTTGATAAAGTTTGAAACTCAATTTCTTTTTAGTTAAAATGTCAGTGGTTAGTGAAGGCTGTAGAATTGATCCCAGGACTAAGAGAAAGATAACATTAATGGACAGGATTGACTTGGAGGATAAATACATTGAACTATATGAAGAGAATATTGTAATTATTAATACACACACACACACACTGTCACACACACACACACACTCACACACCATCAGTTCACATCAGAGATGATTTTAATGTTATTATGAGTAATTTAATATTTGATACTGTTTCTCTTCCTCTCCCTCTAGTTGTTGAAGAAACATGCTAAAGGACAAGAAGATAAAATGAAGAGGTAATTCCTTCGTAAAGTTTGTACTGTATGTACATGTATATACATATGTGACCATAAAAGGAACCTTATGGCGGGTAGTAAAATTTGTCTTTATAGCCAAAAAATCCAACTTCCTGAGCTCCATTTATTATTAAATTACTCAAGAGGATGCAAAAAGTTATGATGTAACTTCTAGAAACAATGGTTGTCTAACAGAGCACTTACAGGTTGAAATTTTTCATTATAATGATGAATTAACAAATTCACCACAAGGTACCTTTTGTCAATTATGGTCATGCACATATATAATTGTCCACTCTTGATAATATGCATGTGATTGTACATGTACTACATGATGAAACCCATTTTTAGCCAAAATTGAAAAGGAAAGAATTCTTATTGTACAGCATTTCCTGATACATACACATGTACATGTGCATGTTAGTCAACTTTTGTCAAAACTGAAAAGTTGAGAATTTGCCATTTTTATAATTTTTTCTAATACATACATTTTGTATGTATACATGTACATGCACATGTTCCTATGTTGTGTGGAAAGTTTGAGCTCATTCTGATAAAAGTAGATTTTTAATGAATTTTAAAGTTCTTAAAAAACTGGGCCAAAGCCCTTGTCTCACCAGCCAATTTATTGAAAAAAAGAAAATTTGTCATTTTTATAATTTTTCCTAATACATATACATGTACATGTACATGTACATAAGTTGTGTAGAAACTTTTAACTGATTCTGGTCAAAATTACAAATGTAGATTTTTGTGAATTTTTAAGTTGGGCCATACTGGAGATTTTGGCAAAATTGACTATGAGATTTTTATTTCATTTTTTAATGCATGTACATTATGGTAATGTAATGATAATGTGCAGTAAAGCCTTAATGTACATGTACATGTAATGTAAATGTGTCATTATTAATTACCGTAGGGCGCCTTTTTTTTTAGGGCTATGAATTTCGTGGATTTTTATTTCGCGGATTTAATTTTCGCGAATTTATGCCGTCTGCCATCTTGTACCATATTGATTTGATTTTCGCGAAAGTAATTTTCGCGAATCTTTAAAAAAATCGCGAAATCCGCGAAATTTATAGCCCTCAAAAAAAAGGCGCCCTACGGTATGATGTACATGTACATGTGTAGATTGGGTACAAAGTTAATAAAACTGTCAAGTGATAACAAGAGAACATGGAGAGAGGGTGAGGCTGATGAATTAGAGCTGAAACTGCACGAGGTCACTGGTAAACTGAGTAAAATTGAGACTCAAAATGCACACCTGAGAGGAAAGGTATCAATACTGAAGCAACAGCTAGCATTATCATGGAAACGGGCCACACCTTATGGTCATGTGACATCAAAGACTAACTCAGTGAGGAATGATAATTGATATAACAACTATTTATAAGTGATATTAGTCATATTACCATATAGGGAGAAATTTTGGAGGGGATTAAATTTGGCGAATTTGGCATTTTGATAGCCATATGCCAATATAAAATTTGCCATTTCGAGCCATTATACACATGCTCAATGGCACGTGGCCACAAATTCGCCAAATTAAAAATCCACCAATCACCAAAGTTTAGCAATTTGCCAAATTTTAGCCTCTCCAAAATTTCCCACTATATGGTACATGTACATGTACATACTTGTCGTCATCATCATCATCATCATTATTATTATTGAAGTAGCTAAAAATAAAATACATGTATATGTACATTATAGACTGGTGGTAGTTCAGAATGTATGTACATGTACAAATACAGTGTACATGTATTTATAATAGTAATGGAAGACAGAATGTATGTATAATTGTGTATGTACATGTATCATTAGGACTTATTATTATCATTATTATTATTTTCATTATTGTAGGGTTTAGGAAGACGGAAATCTCTTTCCTTTTCTACAGAGACACTGTCATATAAAAGGTACGGTATATGTATTTCTATTGTACAAATGAACTGTTGGTATGAATTATTGGCAATTTCAATATTAAATCCACAATTTTGTATCATTCCAATGATACAAACTGTACATTGTATGTGGCACAAAATTACCAATAAATTTTGACTAATTATTAATTTCTACTAAAAAATTCACCAATATTTTTATTAGATTTTCTGAGCTCTTTCCTAGAAATAATTTTTGAGTTATGAGCATTTTAAAAAAGGGCCAATTTTTGAAAAAAAAGCAATAGCCCATGATTTTTTCAAAAATTGGCTCGGAAATCACTAAAATTTTTATTACATTTTGATACATATTGATGTCCTGGTGCTGTAGAAAATTTGAGCTGTTTCCAGCTACACATGTAATTGTTGAGTTATGAGCATTTTAAAAAATGAGCCAATTTTTGAAAAAAGCAAAGGCTACAGCCCATGGTTGTTTTTTTTCAGAAAATGGCTTTGAAGTTACCATACTTTAAATATTTTATAGTTAATTGACATGCCATATTACATATATTAATTTATAGTAAAACAGCCAATACTAGTACTCAAGTCTCTCCTGGTGGCCCATTGAGGTACTGTACATGTACATGTACAATTGTACATGTACATGTATTATTATTATTGTTATTATTATTATTATTGCTATATACATGTATTGTATTGATTATTGCAGGTATGGACATAGTTTGTTGGAAGTTGCTCGTAAAGACAATGTAGAACTGTTAGTGAATTATACATGTACATACATGCACATGTACATGTACATATTAGTGTACGTGAACAAAAGTATTTTTATTTTAATATTTTGTCTATGATCTACAGTGTACAGTACATGTTTTAATTGTTTCCTCATTATGCATGTACATGTGCATGTTCATGTATTTCTCATTATATTTTTCTAGAGAAGAAATCGTTTTAAAATTGAAAGAAGAGCTCACCGTATTAAAGACTGAGTGTGACAGATTAGAGGAAAATGTAATAATAATAATTAATTAATTAATGTACAGTGTATAAATACCATTAATGTGTTGTTATTTTTATTATACATATAAATACAGAATAGGCTGCAAAGTGTATCACATGAGGAGGCTATTCTGAAACTACAAGAGAAAATACAAATACACATTAATGACAAGCAAAGGTACATGTATGTTTTATGCATGTACAGGACTACAGGTACATGTACCTGTACCTGTACATGTACCTGTACATGTACATTGTAACTTATAAGTGCATGTATGCATGCATACAATGTACATGTACATGTACTGTATGTAACTTGTTGATGTGTTACATTGTGCATTTAGAGGATGTGTAATGTTAATTACCATAGCAACTGGGGCAACCCACGATAGCCTCACATAGTTTGACTGGTATTTAAAGATGGAATGGTAGTATTCACTGTTATCGGCTTCTTATTAGATTTGAATTGCAATTACAATTTTTGGAAGGGCTTGACTTCTAGTCACAGCCCTGAGTCCATATTTTAATAACAAAATAGAATAATGAAAAGATTAATCTATTGTAGTAATATAGCAATGGTTTTTAATGCAATAGTTTTTTATGACTTACTACACTGTACCTGATGTACATGTACATGTATATAAGGTACTTACGTGTGCCGTTGGTAAAAAAAACATGCATGTAATAAAACATACATGTATGTACATGTATATGTACATGGTATTTATAAAAAAGTATAAGGTTCACTCTGTGCCAATTGGTCAAAAAAGTATTGCAAGTACAAATGTAGGATTTCAAATGACTGACTACCAATGCTTAATAGTACTTTATGTACATGTACTTTGTACAATTGTACTGTATTTCCTTAAATAGAAGCTGCATGCGAATGAACGCCGGGGTAGCAATACAATTCAAGTATAAATACGCAAATGTAGCCTTGAAGTAACTCAGTAGTCTTGTGGATACTGCCTGAAGTTTCTGACCTCAAGTTCATGAGGTCATCGATTTGAATCCCACTCTGGGACTAAGTTTTTAAATATTTTTTGAGGTCCAAATACCATTTTAGGAAATAGATGCCTGGGCTTTTACATGTATTTAAGGAAATATGGTACTTTTATTTTATATTATTATTGTATTTTATATGCAGGCATATACTTGAGGAAGATGTTGAGAAGATAAGATTACAAAGGGAAGTTCAATCTAAATCAGTTTCACTACAACAAGCAACTACTAACTGTCAATCTTTGCAAAAGGTATATATACTTATGCATGTACTACATGTACACAATTATTACTGATAAAATTGTAATGTATTTTTGATGGATTAATTGTCAACAAAATTTTGCCAATTAGATTAAATGAGCTTTAATTGTCAGTTAAAATTTTGGTAAAATTTTGACTGCTACCGAGACCTCAAGTTTCTAAATTTTATTCAACCAAATTTTCCATCTACATGTACATGTATACAGTAAATTTAGAAGACTTTATTACATTTACATAATGCGTACACAACTACACATGCAATGTACATGTACATGTGCATGTACTAAGTCTAAGGTACATGCGTGTACATGTAAGTTTGTGCTTGACGTAATTACGCACAGAATTTAAACATTTTCCACATTGAGTGATATGTACTGAAAATGAAACACCTCAAAATTTTTCCACACCATTACTTCAGCATTTTTTAACCTTTTGCACATAGTTACATGTACATGTACATGTACGTAACATATAGTATTATTTATTTTCAGGAATTAACAATTATGAGGAATAAGTGTAAAAGTCTCACTACTGACGTTACTGGATTAAAGACTCAACTACATGAAGTAATAATAATTAACTGTACATGTATACATGTACATGTGCATGTACATACTGTAGGAGCAGATGATTAGTAAAGATTTGCTGAGTAAAATGAAGGAATGTTCTATTGAGAAACGATCACTGGCAGAGGTACATGTACATAGTAATAATAATACTGCATTTTGTAGTACAGTACATGTACATGTACATGTACATGTACATGTACAATAATATGTCATGTATAGTATTTTTTATTAGGGATTTCTCTGTCATTTTATTCATCTTTATTATTATTATTTTTTTACTTTTATTTTTATTTTTATTTTTATTTAGTTACAAGATATATTAACTGATGTGAAATATGAAAAGGAACTGCTAAAACAGAGAAATGACAGACTTACTAAAAGGTACTCATACACATGTACATGTACACATGTACATGTACATGTTTGTCTGTGTGCACTCCATAATTATAGCTCTTCATAATTTTGATGACAAAATTTTAATTTGACATTAATTAAGTATACGTGTACATTTACACATGTACATGTACATGTACATATACCGTCTATCTGGAAATTTTTACTGTGATTTAAATTTTACTGAATTAGAATTGCGCAAAAAATTAGATCACCCATATAAATTACATGTACATGCCACATTCAATAATACATGACACAGTCTTATTTAGTAAAAATTAAATCACAGCACAATTTAAAACACAAAAATTTTCTACCACACTAATTTCCTGTAAATTTGTGATGTAACAAATTTTAGTGTACTTACCGTTCAGAGAAATTAGTTTTACATAAGCTCTATAAGATGTTGTCTTATGCATTAAAGAATTTACTGACAGCAAAAATTAATCTCCCATAACCATGCATGTGCCATGTGGTATAATAATTTTTGTAAATCATTTATTATTTTTATTTATTAGTTTATTAAAGTCAATTGGTGATACTGGTAGTGTTACTGATGATAAGCATACTGGAGTTAGTGAGTGGATTACTAGTGACATGAGAACTCATTATGAACAAAAATTGAATGAAACTAGAGAAGAGACACAAAGAACAATAGATGAACTTAGGAAAGAAAAAAGTACATTACACATGTACATGTATGTACATGTACTTTTTTACATGTGCATGTATGTACATGTACCTGTAAAGCATAAGATGTGCTCTGTAGTACATGAACTGTAATTCTCACTCCATTCTACTTTTGTCTCTCTTTCTCCTTAAAGAGTTAAGACTAAAGCTGGAGGAGCAAATCTTACAGTTAAAAGATGAACACACACTGTTGAAGAAAGTAATTGAGAATTTACACATACACAGCGAAGAATTATCATGCTGATAC